TGTTAATTTCGTTCCAAACGTGGCAGTCTGACGGATTTGAATGCAGAGGATCTGTTGGATATTTTGTGTATTTGAAAAGTTCATCTGTAGCGTCATCAGAGAGGGACAATGATCGCGCAAGTGCCTACTTGTAACATTCTAGTTGGAAAACGTTTTTTCTGTGTGACAAGCTAATGAAACTGCATAAACCTTCTGAACATATATTTAGGTACCTTATAAAAGTTTGTGACGATGGTACAGTAATACAAGTATTATGTTCCTGGACATTATCCATGGCCCTGTTTTTATTTAAAACACACAACATTTCAGAGCCTGGATTCTGTCTCCATCTTCAGGTGAAAACTGACTCATTTGGGTCCATGCGGTCCGGAGGTACGGACTAGCTCTGTCGGTTGGTAAAAAGAAAACGTAAAAGGTAAAGCTATCCTTGTAAGGGGCCTTGGAGGCCCATAGGGTTGTGAGACGTCGATGTTCCCACATTTTCTAGACAATCGGCTCATAGATGGTGGTAAGGTTCTCAGCTTTACGCGCCGACCGGCCAACTTTTACCCCCCAGGAAGGTTCCTGGTACTCATTTCTGTTAGAGGTTGAGTCGACCCCAGGGCCATAGTGCGGCTGGAAGTATTATGTGAATTAAAAAAAATCCACCGAATAGGTACTCGAACCAGCGACATTTCGGTTTGTAGCATCGTGCCTTAACCAACTACTTTACTGCGACGGAGACAGAATTCAGTCTCCGAAAGTTCTTTTTTTTTTCTAAATATAAACAAGACGGTGTTTTAGATAAAACAGGGCGATGGATAATGTCCAGGAACATAATATTTATAGATATTTATGTATTCTCTGCGCAAATTACATGGGTTTCATTCAAGTTTATACAACAGCAAACTTCTACAGTTGCGTTACTCATCAGCAGATGCGTGGCATCAGTGCAAGGATTATGGGGGGATTTAGGTGGAAGGCGTAATCAAGCAGGACCCAAAACTCTTGTGTCAGCTGCGGAACCAAACCTAACCATACCGAACGGCGCGACTTAACGTCTCCATTTCCAGAGAAAACGCTAAGTCCTTTGTAGAGCGGGTTGTTTTTGGTTTAATCAAGAGTTACCAATCTACAATGAAGGCAGACTGTATATTTGCATTTATTATTTAGAATTCATTCCAAATCAGCAACTGGTTTACATGTGATGAAATTAGGAGAAGTACAGGGGAGAGTCAGTAAAAAGGTCACAAATAGATATTAACCATAAAACATGTGATATTTGAACCTGGGGAAAAACATTTATTTCTCGACATGACCACCAGCCCTGATACACTTGTCCCACTGTTTTGCAAGTGCCTCGTAAACCGCAGCCTAGAAGTATTTTGACTGTTGTCTCAGGCACTTCCGCATCTGGTCGGGCATCATCTGCGACCTTCGAACATATTTCATAGAATATCTCGACCCAGTTGTGAACCGCTTTATGAGACAAACACTTCCCTGCATAATAGGGAAATATTTCTTTGTGAATATCCTTTGCACAGAGTCCTTTTGCCTACAAAAAAAAAAGCACAATCGAACGCTGCTCTCCGGTAGTATACTTCTCAAGCATGGTCGCCATTTTGACTACTGAAATCCGCCTCTGAACTTGCTCATACGCATCTCCTTCCTAGACTTTCATGAAGCTTGACTATGCTGTTACCTACTGGTACTGACAGAAAACATTACGTCAATTACAGCTGTTTCACTTCATTTGTGACCTATTTACTGATTCTCCCTTTTATATGATAATATCTTTCGCTTTTGGGGGGAGGGAATTCCTTTTATTCTTCGAATTCCCATACATATTTGCCCAAGTTGCTCTATAAATTTCTTAGACTAACTACTATAATATAAAAGTAAAATATATTGCTTGTTGTAAGTTCACTTGAATAAAAAAGAATTAATCTTTTATGGCAGTCAAATAACTTCTAAATTGAGCGAAGCAAACACATTCTTAGCGAAAGTTGTCTGCACTTCATGAACTGTGTTTCCATCCTGAAACTGCATGAGTTTGAGGATGTTAGCTGATGTACCAGTGAAGTTAAAACTCATATGTTTTTCCTAGTTCTTATGTTTCACTTGTTATATGTGGGTGATGAATTGAACTCTCTGTTTCAAACGCGTTCTTGTGTCATTCTTTCTGATGTAAATTTTATAGAAAATGACGGATTTATAACTTACTGGTAGGGAATATTTCGCTTTCTAAAACTATAATAATGAATCTAACACAGTTCGCTTTGGTGATGCTCCCAGTTAACTGCAAGGCTATCCACATCTCCTATAAAACCCATAACTTCCAAATGGAACTTATTTCAGAAGAAGATATGAAATTTGTGTTGGATTTGAGGTTCTCACAGCGACAATTATATGGAATATAAAGTCATGTACTTCGGTTCCCCGACGTTTCGGAGGAAGATACTGTCTCCAACTTCAACGTCGAAACCAGATATTTAAAATTACCGCCTACTTCATGATTTGCATATATTCCGACCGTGAAAATGGAGGCAGAACATTCCTCCGAAATGTCGATAGACTTCTACCAGACTACACGGCTTTACATCCAACAACACAGAAATCTTCTCACAGAAATTACATTGTAGAAATACATTTTAAGCATTTTACTAATGACTTATTATAACTCTGAAATGTAGTTTTCTTTTGTATGTAATTCATAAAACAAATCTAAACGGCCAATCATGCCTCCAAGTAAAGCTCTATTATTGGCCGATGAAACAGAATTATACGAGAATTTGATCACTGCATTTTGGAAGATCAAGATAGTAAGTCGAAAGGACAGTGTGTGCCCAAGATTATATCATCTGCTTACCCTTGCCTCATGAATTACTGAATTTTGAGCTAGGACTGGCAATACCGGCTTTGAGTTATTTAGAAATGGAATTTCAACCCTGTAACCTTACGTTCGCCAGACCTCAAGTACATGGCCCTCAGTGGAACATAATTAAAATGTCAGTGTTCAGTAGTTTCAGGTTTGAACAGAGGTGACTGTACTGTGTATGAATCTTTGAAGGCGCGTCATCATCACACTGTGCCATATATCATTACGCCAACATTTGGGAATCAAGTAGACCCACTGCTAGGCAACGAGCTTATACAACAACAGTTCCTAAGTAATGGCTCTGGAAACAACGAGCGTTGCTAGGCAATGACTGAGTAGCTATCATGTGGGCATCCTAACCGACGCATACGGAACAATAGATACAGCAACAGAGGAACGTTGTTTTCTGTGCGGTCCGTGCCGAGATGTAAGCTTGTAGCAGTAGTAGTAGTCATGGTATATGTGCGATACATACTCGTACATGTGACAAGGCCAAGCTTATACATAAGAGGCAGACCCATCTCGTCAGAAAGAATGTTACATGAGGACTATGATGGCAAGAAATCTATTGGAAGAATCTCAGGTCGTGAGTCTCAAGGTGCTTGACGCCAAGACGAACTGATGGGCAAGAACCTGCCAGGCGTAAAGTAACGTGACTTTGACTTTGACAATGGGTTAGTTGTGGGACACTGGCCAGCCGGTACGAACGTGAGCAGGGAAGCAGAGGACATTGTTGAGAACCGCCGCCAGACGCAGCAGACTGAGAAAACTTAGTGCGTGCTGTAATGAAATGTAGAGTGTGTGAATTAGCGATAGTGCTATAGTTACGTGTAGTTACAATCTGTAGGTGTTCAATAACTCCGAATACCAATCCAAACCCTCTCTATAGTCACTCATACCCGTGACAATATTTACGACGGGAACCAAAATCACGAGACTGGAGATTCCGTTGAAAATACACCGGGACTTTTTTCCCATAAGGTTGCCTACTCAAGGTCTAACGTCACAGATGTTCTAGACAAAATGTAGGACGAGTACTATCTTCCTGGATGCGATGCCGTCTAGTCCAGTAGTTCACCGACGTTTCGGGGCAAAATATTTTCGTATTCAGAGTGGAAGACGTTAAGGAGTTAAGAAATGAGCAGAAAGTCTGGCTGATTGCTATGTGTAACAGTGCAAAAAATGGATGTGGAAGTCAGTTTGCTTACATTAGATTTAGGCGAAAATATCAGATAGGTAATTTTAGAAAGTGAAGTAATTAAAAATGTAAATTATATCTCTAAATTTAATCATATTAGTGGGTGTCATGGTTCCCCGACTTACCGACCCTGAAGAAGGAGACGGAATATTTCTCCGAAACATAAATGGACTTCTACCGGCGTGTACACGTGACTTTATAGAAGATAATAGGAACTCTTCCCCTTCCTCAACATTATTTTCTTATTTAAAATCTTAACAACGTTGAATCAAGCCTTTCCAATTCATATAATTTAATTTTTACGTAGCACAAAATGAAGATTAGAAATTGTTGTTACCCATCTCTGTTTGAAAGGTACCTCTCTGTGTATACTACTCGAGACAGTTCAATCCTATCCACGATCACGCTGAGGGACACGAATTTGCCTGAACAGACGAAAGCGTACCACGGGCCGTGCCAAGGCTCAGGCGGTTAGTCGCCGGTTTCTCACCGTGGCGGACCGGGTTCACATCCTAGATTAGGTCATGTGGGATTTGTGGTGAACAAAGTGACACTGGGGCAGGTTTTCTCCTAGTACTTCAATTTCCCCTACCCATTCTCATTCCACCGACTTCACACTCATCATGTCGTCAGGGGCTGGTACAGTAGGCCAGTTAGTGGCAGACGTACCAAGTGGACTCACTCTCACCCCACCCCAAAAGTTAATTATTAAGGTAAACTAGTCATGCAAGCAGGAAGATCACGGATTCGATTCCCGATGAGGTCATTGGATTTTTCAATTGACCTAATCCTTCCAGCCGCACTGTGGCCCTGGGGTCGACTCAGCCTCTTAACAGAATTGAGCACCAGGAATTTTCCTGTGGTAAAGAGCAGCCGGAGCGTAAGGCTGGCATCCTCATAGCCATCTGTGAGCCGGTTATCTAGAAAATGTGAACGCCTCGACGACTCACAACCCTATGGGCCTCCGTGGCCTGTTACAGGGATAGTTTTACCTTTTATTGAACCACTCAAGATATTAAGGATAACCCATCACTCATGCACATGAGCCATTTGTGTGTCAGGTAAGTAGAATGTGACTTTTTTCAGTATGGAACTAGATAAAATGAATTACTCTCGGTCCTCGACTTATGAACTGGTTATGCTAAGCTAGACTTCCACTGCTCACACATATTCATTGCTTGTTGCCTAATTAATTAATCACATACACATATTTGCTTTTTAGTTCATCATCGTTAAGGATGTGACGCCGAATAGTCCGCTAGATATTCGCCGACGTTTCGGAGGAACATACTTCCTACATTTTGAAGGTCGAAAATTAAGTCATGGCGAAAACTACATAGAAACAAGCAGAAATATATAGTAACCTGTCCATTGAGAGCAACTGTGTTCGATGTTAGGCTCTCACTGCAGAGAATTTGAAGAATACTCTCATCTGGGATGTTACTCCGTGTAGTCTGATAAAACGGACGTGATAAGCAGATCTTTGCCTCATATTTGCTTACCTAAATATTTGATAATGAAGATGGAGGCAGTGTGTTCTTCCGAAATTCTACCACGTTATATGGCATCACATTCAAGAAGATGGTACTGTTCATAGGTGCTGCCGTGATAGCCTCAAACCCAAAATGAGGACGTTGTCCTTTCTTCTTGGTGGTTACCTGCTTAGTTCAGTCTTATACCCTGAAGCTAGAAGCGGTTCTATCCTCCGAAACTGTAGTAACCTACACGGTATCACATCTCAGAAGATAACACTCTTCTTAATCACTTCTGCGGAACCTCCAATCCAGCATGACTCTAATTATTTCAGAACAGAATAACGGCAATATGTTGATCATATTGCTCAACTGAATGAGATACGGGAAGAGGCGGTCGTGTTTCTTTAGGGCATCACCTGGAACTTACGTGAGGAGATTAAGAAAAGGCACGGAAACCTTAGATATGTGACCGGGTATTGTTTGATGCTTATTTTGAAAAATGTTGGGAATTGCTTTCGTGTTAAAAATTATCGTCTTCGGGAATGGGACACTGTATAGTCTGGTATATGTTTACGGAAGTTTTGGAAAAATGTTGCTAACTCCGAAACGTCTGTAAATTTCTACTAGCCTACACGATGTCACACCCAAAATGGCAGTAATATGCATAATCGCTTCTGTAAGAAACTTATACACGTATTTCACATGCTTCCCTGTTCTCGCAAAATTTGAATAGAAAAAAATTGTCAGATAACTTTATTGTGGAAATGGATTCATATTCAGTATGCAGCTTCGGGCAGAGCTGGAAGAAAACCCCCACATTTTCGTCTCTCTATATACACCAATATGTATCAAGGCGCACCCGCAAATGCGAGTGCCTATGGTCATTTTCAACCCGTCAAATTGGCGATTCTATAGGCGTTCCTGTGAACTCTGCGTAACTGACAAGGAGAAGAAGCCGTCAAGTGGCGCTTCTATCGGTGTTTCCGCTAACTCGTTACAACTGATGAAGTGAGGAAGCCGTAAGGTGGCGCATCCATCGGTGTTCGATCGAACTCGTTGTAACTGACGCTGAGAGGATATACGATTCATTACATGGTGAGGGATTCAAAAAAAAAATCCTCTCTTGCTATTTTGAATACAAGTCTGTTTATTACGAAAGAAAATATGCACTTGTACATCACGTGGAATAAAAACCACGTTACGTACTTTCTTCGGTGATACCGAAACTGCTTTCGAGATAATTCCGACTAATATAGACCCAAAATGCTGTGAAACTCGGAGTGCTTAGTATATGCCATTAATAGTAATCTTTAGGAACATTATTCGCTTCTGAAACGTGTAGACATATATAACTGAACCGGTAATATCTGTGTACCAACTCGTCGTCACTATCTTGCAATAAGCTCCAAAATCCATTCTTATCAAATATCCGGATCAACATTATTGCCATCCGAAGAAAATGGCGACGTTCAAATACGATTATCTTTCCATTCTTCATAGTGTTCAGTGACTGGCTGATCGATTCGTACTCGTTGGAGTTTCTTTATCAGTCTTATGCCTATTTTCTCTTTTCCCTTCCATAGCTTTCCGTTCTTTCTGTCTTTCCTCCTCCTCTTCCTCCTCTTCCTTGTCTTCTTCCTCGTTTTCCTCGTCCTCTGGACCTTCTGTGATCACGCTGGCTTGGATCCAGTCACGGATCCTGTCTTTCTTCGCGCTGCGGTCTACAGTTGTCTCGATCCCATATTGTGTCAGGGTGAAGAGCAGTTGGTTCTTCTCTTCGACACTGCTGTGGAAACTGTACATGGAGGGGCACAGCCCTTCGTCCTCAGGATTGTTATCTGGAAGGGACACAAAAATACCAAAGTTGTATTTGTGGTTCTTACATAGGTGACATTGAAGAGTGAGGGATTTTTAAGAGCTAAAACTATCCCTGTAAGGGGCCTTGGAGGCCCATAGAGTTGTGAGACGTCGAGGCTCCCACATTTTCTAGACAATCGAATCACAAATGGCAGTAATGTTGTTATCCTTGACTCTGGGATTATCCGAGCGGCAAGAGCGTGAAGCTCACCATCACCTCTGTGTGGATAAAAATGCTTTGAGTTACAATTTCCTTCCTCTTTAAGTTTTAGGGTGTTTTACTTAGGTAATAGGCACAGGGAAATATTGACAGAGTCCGCACCGACTCTGGGGCCCACCCAACCTCCTATCTAATGGGTACCCCAGATGTAAATCGACCGGGACTTGAAGCTGACCGCTCACCTCCAATTAGTGTCGAGGTCAAGAATACATGCATCTATACATCCACTCCACATATGTCTTAATGGTCTACTGCTTAATTCGTTAAGCACAGGGACAACTTTACCTTTTAGAGGGAAATATTAAAGAGTAAAGAATCAGTCTATAGAGATCCATAATTTTATATGTATCAAATGCTATTTAAAAAATTTAATATGCCCATCTTCAAATCGTTACGTGAATCACTAAATGGAAAGTTTGTGTCTTCATATAAGCAAATTAAATCCAGGATTGTCATGGCAAAAGCTGCATTTAGCAAGAAGAAGAATCTTTTTACCAGCAAATTGGACTTAAATTTGAGGAAGACACTAGTGAAATGCTACATTTGGAGCATAGCTCTGTATGGGGCTGAAACATGGACACTTAGGGCAGTAGATCAGAAACACCAGGAAAGTTTCGAAATGTGGTGTTGGAGAAGGATGGAGAAGATCAGTTGGACCGATTATGTGAGAAATGAAGAAGTGTTAATTAGAGTCAGTGAGCAGAGGAATATCCTACACGAAATAAGAAAACGGAAGGCTAATTGGATTGGTCATGTTTTACGCAGAAACTGCCTTCTAAAAGAAGTTATTGAAGGAAAGATAGAGGGGCAGATAGAAGCGACAAGAAGACGAGGAAGAAGACGTAAGAAGATGCTGGATGACCTTGGGGACTGAAGAGGATACTGTCATTTGATGGAGAAAGCTCTAGATCGCATTAGTGGAGGAACTGTTTTGGAAGAGACTGTGGACCTGTCGTCTGACAGATTACTGATGATGATGATGATGATGATAAGCAAATGAAATAGTTAAATATCAGTTGATACAACGTTGTAAAATGAACCCAGTAACGCATGAAGAATGAACATAATCTCATCCTCTGATTTGTCTCACCTGTTTGTCTGTCCAAGGACGTTCTTGTAAGCCACCTGTCCTCAAGGAACTTGGCCAGATCTGCCAGCCCTCCTGGCCTCTTCTCCGGCCGCGGTTCAAGGAACTTGCGGAACATTCTCTGGGCCCTGGAGGTCAGCAGCTTGAAGAGTTTGGGTCTCCTCACGGGCATCAGAACGCCATTACTACCGTGCCAGTGCAGGTATCGGACGTATCGCGGGTCGTCGCTACCTGCTTTCTGCCAAGGCAGGCAACCCGTCAGACACACGAATATCACGATCCCGAACTGCCACACATCGTGCGACGTTTCGGCCCTGCAACACGCGTCATGCAGATGATCTTATTTCTCTGTGACCACTCTCCTAAATATAACGGAACGAGGTGCAATGGCGAACATTTGTAAAGAAGTCAATGACATTTCTGTTTGCATGAAAGTGGAGAATTTATTGATCCGCTGACTATTACAAACCCTGGATCAAAGAGTTTGTTATTCAGTTAGTTTTGCATGGAAACAGTATTCAACGGCAATTCGTTCAGAAGATAAAGCTGTGTCAACACGTCCACACCTTTGCACGCGCAATTTCGTCGATATTCTTCGCTGATATTCCCGGAACGTTTCTGTGATTCGCTCTCTGCTCCTATTTATTATATCACGGAAAGCTCTCTGGCTAATAGCTATGCAGTGACTGTTATATTCCGACGTGTTTAGGGGCTGTGTAACAGCTTCTTCACTCAGTTCTCTTGTTTCTCAAGTGATGGCAGCACCATACGGATTGAAGTAATTATATTTTACATGTGTTAAGGAATACAAATTTAATTTAAAACCTTTCATATCCTGAATGCAAAATTTTGCGAGTTGGGATATTGAAGAGGACGAAGAAGGAAGGAGAATGAAAAGGAAATGAGGAAAATATGATCGAGAAGTATGAGGGGAAGAGATGAAATAAAAAAAATGATAATACGAGGAGAAGAAAAAGAAGAAGAAGAAGAAGTACATGGAGAGATGGTGTAAAACGACAAGGAGGAGCAAAGGAATAATAACGGAATGACGAGCAAAATGAGGTGGACAAAGGAGAAAAGAGAAAGGAGTCAGAGATAAATAATGAAATGCGAGAGGAAAAGGATAATGAGAATAAGAGAAGGAGATGAGTGTAGAAAGTCGAAACAAAAAAGTTTTTGTCGCAGAACCGACAGATCTGTGCTCATATAAATAGCGTCCTCTTTTTGTTCTCCTGTTCCAATTCGGGACTCCTTTTTGGAATTATAAATTTTGTTTTGGTATGTGACAGGTTTCCATGGAGGTGAGATCTCCCAGTTTCAAGCCTCGTTTTTACGCAGGACAATACAAACGTAGAATCAGTAATTTTCTGGGAAGAACTAGTCGCTTCCTTTCCTTTAATACAACAATAACGGCATAGCAAAACACGCGTCAACAATTCTTCTATTGTTGTGTGTGTATTTGTTGCCTCTGTAGCGTTTCACAGGGCTGTTGCCTAGCAACAGTAGGGAAATACACATAAAGACACAGCCTGATGGGAGGGATGTATGAAGTCCGCCACTGAGATGGGTTCAGGTAGCGCGATATACATACTGAGTTTCATAAAGATTGTTTCAGACATTCAAAAGTTAATAAAGGGGCATGCGCAGATCGCATGAGCCAATTTCGGAAAGTAGACTTAAAATGCTGCCATGGAGCGATACGTTAAATACAATTTGAACCCATGATCCCAGTTTTCTAGCGATTGACGAGATTGTATGTTTTAGACAACTGAGGATCACCTCCAGTAGTTCACTTTATAGACTGCATTCTGTTGCATGTGTAACATGTAAGAATGTGAGAGTCGACACAACAGGTAGATGATCATATTCAACTTAAGACAAACATGTATTAATCTGTACCTCACTTATTTGTTATATGCATAAGCTTGAATAATAAGAAAAGCCATACCATCATAATTTTTTTCCTTGGCACTACAGCCCCAGTGGGCCTAGGCCTACCTCCATGAACTTTTCCGTTCACTTCGGTTTTTCTAGATCTTACACATTCGGTAGGACTCCTTGGGCGAGTGATCAGCTCGTCGCAAGGCCTCTGCCTGTACACAAACACAGAAAAACGCACACAAACATCCATGCCCTGAGTGGGATTCGAACCCACGATCCCGGCTTCCGAGCGAGCGAAGACAGTGCATGCCTTAGACCGCTCGGCTACCGTGACCGGCACCATCATAAATATTTTAACTACTGACAATCATAGTACTTCTCTATATAACTTGTCTACAAATTGAAACTCATAATTTTTCGCTTTCAAAATGTTGTGGGAATCTGCAAGCAGATCACCATTCTCATCCTTCACTAAGTTGCTTCTAAGTTAGCAACCCCTCTTAAAGTCATTTATTCCTCTATACAGGTCTCTAATGTTCTTCTTCTTACAGTTCTTTGCAATTTCATCAATTTTGTCTTTCAGGTATTCCTCTTTTTGTTCCTGAAATGCCTGCTGGCTTCACGTCTTACATTGTTCAGAGTATCCCCATTTAACTCGCTTCGATCCTGTGACCACTGCAACTTGGCTTGTTTCCTTGGCTGAAATTTTGATATTCTCTCTGACAGCTTTCCAAGCTTGATGAACATCCACCTCAGTGTCTAAGTTTACCAAAGCTGCGCACCTATTTGAAATTTCAACACGATACTGCTCTTTACCCTCTACCTTATTTAATTTCTTGGGATTGAACCTCTCCATATGAACTCTGTGCCAAGTAAAATTAGAATGTTCAAGTCAAGGAGATTGAGATGGGCAGGGCTTGTAGCACGAATATGGGAGACGAGGATTGCATATAGGATATTGGTAGGAAAGCCAGAAAGAAAGAGACGACTGGGACGACCAAGGCTTAGGTGGGTGGACAATATTAAAGTGGATTTTAGAGAAATGGGATTGGATGGTAAGGATTGGATTGATCTGGCTCTGGATAGGGACCAGTGGAGGGCTCTTGTGAACACGGTAATGAACCTTCGGGTTCCATAAAATGCTGGAAAATTCTTGAGTAGCTGCAGATTTGGCTTCTCTTCAAGAAGGGCTCAGCTCCATAAGTAAGTAAGTAAGTATTACAAACGGTATTCCACATATGGCACTTTTCCTGCATACATACCTAAATCAATGGAACAGAGTCCTTCTTGAGAAGTTTACATATGATTTTAAAATTAAGTTATCACCATGAAATGCCTGTTTCTCCACAGGAGTCCTATAGAAGTAAAATAAGATTCTAGATTATTATCGGGGTTTCCGTGGCCTATAATTTTCAAATCGGAAACAACAAAATAAAACTGCGCATGTTTGAAGTTTTTAGCATTCTACAGTGCTCATTCTACAAATAATAAAACTTTTTGAGACACATTTTCGTATTCCGTAAATAGTTTTATTTCAATTTTTCCGATTTGAAAATTATAGGCCACGGAAACCCCGACGATAATTAAGAATCACTCTCCAGTATTCCATATATGGCACATTTACTCTATGTAGCATGTGAAAAGGCCCCATTTTTAACAGAAGCATCACCAAATAAAATCGACCCATCCGCATGTGGGTAGTGAGAAAACTTGTGGAACTCACTTATAAGTCTCGTCCGTGTTGGTGAGAAGAACTTCAGGAGGAGAATAGGGCAGCCATTCGTTGCGTCTCCTCACCAAAGTGCCAGCCCTTCTGGTTTCACCAAAGTCACAGAGTTTGACCCGAGAAAAGTCGGACTTGAGGACGAGAACGTTGTCCAGCTTGACATCCCGGTGTACCAGCTCGCGAGCGTGCAAATGCTCTAGCGCTGAGGCGAGCTGAGGGCAATAATTGTGGTTAAACTGAGTGTCGTCTTTACGTGCCAACAGCGACTGCATGCTGCAGTTCTCAGTACACTTCGTGTACAAGTTGCCAGATAAAGCTGATTAGGTGTGTCCTGAATATTAGATCGTGCTGTAGGTTAATCAGTTGTAGTAGTCGTAATGGAAAGTATTTCTCTCAATTGCTGGAGGAATTTGTCAGGACGTTACTCACTCAAGTATACACGTACATTTGAATACGTTTAATTATTGTGTCCCGATTCAATACAAACTTTGCCTGAAAACCGAAGAGGAAAGAAAAGAAAATATCCAGCAGGATGGATTTACATATGCTAATGACCCGAAAATCAGTTAAACTGAACTATTCTCATCTCTTAAAGGGAATGTTCAGATGTAAACCTGACAACCGACATGTAACGGTAACTCAACGCTGTGAGTTGTGCAGTGAACATTTCGAAAGAATTTTGTAAATTATTAAGTAATTCAGAAATTTGTAATGCATTTTAATGTGCAAATTACTAACAAATTAATATGTGCCAACTTCTATATGGATGGATAGATATATAGATAGAAAGATAGATAGATGGGCCGCACCATAGCTCAAGTGATTAGTCGCTGGCTTCCCACCGCGGCAGCCTGGGTTCGATCCCGGGTCTGGTCAAGTGTGATTTGTGGTGGTAATATTGGCGCTGGGGTAGGTTTTCTCCTAGTACTTCTGTTTCCCCCGCCAATCTTCATTCCACCAATTGCTTCACAATCACCCTCACCTATCATCTGGAGCTGGTACAATAGGCCAGAAGTGGCCACACTACGAGGGACTTAGTCCCACCCCACTAGCAATGAATAAAAGATTGATAGATAGACAAACAGACAGATAGATTGAACTGTTCTCGCGTGAATCAGGTGGCACTGCTTAACCTTCTTATTCGATTTGAATGCAGGACACTGGGTGACGTCACCAAGACTTTGTTCCGTACAGTCTATTAGGTAGGTGAATGATAAAGTAAATAACTGCAAATACTGATCTGGATCAGGATATGGACCAGTGGAAGGTTCTTGTGAACACGGTAATGAACCTTCGGGTTCTATAGAATGCTGGGAAATGCTCATATTACGTGGCGGTTTTCCGCATGTAAGTGGTACAAACGTTGTGTTTTCTAGTCTTTAGAATACCGAACGACGGACAAAGACCAAAACCCCAGTAATTTTGCGTAAACATGTAGGTTATAACAATATATTTAATGTGGAATTTACGAGGAAAATGCAGGCAGATACTGACATAGATGGAGGTGTACCTGCTTGGCGACACGCTTGCTATGCAGTTCGCCTATTCCTGTTTCCGAAACGTTGGATGTGAGGTCACCAAGAGGGGCGTACTCCTGCGAGAAGACGTAGAAACCGGCCGTCTCGAATGCCACGTCGTAAGTGGTGATAATGTTTCGGTGAGCTCCCAGATGCAGACTGTAATGGAACTCCCGGTAGAAGTCCCGAACTGCGGTGTAGGGTTTCGGTAGTGCTTTCAGCACCATCTCGGAGTCGGTGGCGCGATGCTCTGCCAACAGGATCTTGCCAAACCATCCTTCACCAACGATCTGTAGGATGTCGAACTCTTCAGCCAAGTTGACCTGCCGCAAACAGCCATGATGCGTTAGAGCGAGCTTGTTCAAACAACCGAATTCAACACTTTATATATTTACGTGCTTACTCAACAGCCTAAAGGCCGATTTGCAATTTTTTTGTTTTCATATTTTCCATCCTGTTTTGTATATTAGTCATATCGATTGAAATATACATATACACACACACTCAGAGTGTTTCACGACTTTAGGGCATAACTACAGGAGGTGATTTCCTAGGTCTTTGGGATCAGATAAGTTCATATAAACTTGTGTCCGATTTGGGACGGTTACGGAGTTATGACCTTTTTTCATTCCCGTACACGCATTCGTGTGAACCGCGCCTGTCAGCTGGCGGGTCGCTATTTTTAGCCAGCTACAGACAGAGCGTTCTCGTTATGTCGACATTTGAGATGTACCTAAGGCATGGTGGGTTGGTATGTCCGGCGCGGTTCACAACCGAGCGGCAGCCTGTGTTGCGGCCGGCGGTAGCATTTTCGAAAATCAGCTTTAAGCACCAATAAATTCAAATTAAAGGTAATTTCACGAAGTTAACTTTACATTCATACCTTAAATGTATCATATATTGTGCTGGTTTATTATTTTGTTCCGTTTATTGTCAGTAATCATTACCTTCTATTCTGAGTTTAAAACGGTCATAACTCCGTAACCGTCCAAAATCGGGCTAATGTTTTTATGAACTTTTTTGACCACAAAGACCTAGGAAATCATCTCCTGCAGTTATGCCCTAAAGTCGTGAAACATCCTGTATATACACAGGGTGTCTCAGGAGTAAGGGTCAATATTCTGGGAGGTCACAGTATCGGTCATTCTAAGCAAAAAATTGTGTATGTACACGTGTCCTATCCCGAACGGTTTCCGAGATAGAGCTATTTCGCTTTACACTGTATAGACGAGCAACACGCCATGTCCTCACACGAATTGCAAAGTGCACTGATGCTGACGGTTGAATTTCCGGAAATGCATTACACTAGGTAAACTGTACTAACTTTGTCACTTGAACAATAAATGCAGATACTAGAAACAGAGAACCGCCTCTCTGGTCTAGAGGTCAGAGTCCCTGCCTACTGATCCTGAGATTCCGGTTTCGATTCCCAGCGCTAGCAGATTTACTGAGAAGTAGTGGGTCTGGAACGGGGTCCACTCAGCCTTATGAGGATAATCGAGGAACTATTTCAAGGAAATAGCGGCTCAGAAAACCGAAATTAACGGCGGTGGGGATTCGTTGATGCAAAGAGAGGAAATATACACATATATTTATCTTGAATATAATACTGATTAAGAAAGCACCGTTTAAAATACGATTAAGGGAAACAGATTTTTCTCCAAATAAATTAACATTTCTACAGACATCAGGAACCGAAGCGTATCTAGCAAAAGGACAATTCATACATGAAAAGCAAATATTGAATAAAGCAAATCTTCTGATATGTCGATCAGGAACTCGAAGACCACGAGTTCCCAGAAGAGGACATAATAATAATAATAATAATAATAATAATAATAATAATAATTCAGTTCAATTCTTTATTATTTACGAGCCGATTCAACAGCCACAAGGCCAATTACAGACACAACACAGTGCAGATACAGGTAATTACATTACGGACAAACACAGCATAAAATCAAAGACAAGTTACAAACAAGCACTGGAGGAAAAACACATTAATACAGAAAAGTAAACAAACAAACGAAGATTAGGAGTTGTAAGAAGAACATGTTAACACAGAGCGTTATGATTGTGAACAAATATTATTAATAACTTTAGGATGATGGGTCTAAATGCGATTGAGAGAATTGGCTTCCAGTGTAAGTAGGTTGAGATCTCTATCCAGCTACTATCGTTGCAATAGTAGTTTCCCTCTGATGATGGTCTATAAGGACCGAAACATGTAAGGGCGTTGAGATTTCAAGCAGTAAAAACTCCAATATTCACACTGGACAGAGTTGTTTTGTCTTTGTAACCCCATTCAGTCCGTTGAGAGACTGCTTGTTATCTGTTTCCACGTTTGTTTCTCGTACCGCTTATTCTTGGACCCTGAAGATGGAGACTACACATTCCTCCGAAACGTCAGTTGATTTTCAACGGGCTACACGGCGTTATATCCGAGAAGGTATAAGTCTTCAGGATGACCAGTACTTCGCAAAACCGAACAATTTCTGCCAGAGATGAAAACGGTTACCCTGAACTCTGCGACGACGGAACCACGTGGGTGGTAATTAGGAGAGGTATACTTGTCTGATTAGGCTCCCTGCACACGAGCGGCGCGGTGACGCTCTGTTGCCGGACAGTCAACGGATGCGAAAAAAGTGCACGAAGCGTTTAAGGAACTGTGACGCACAATGCGGTGGTCTGTCATAGGAAGTAAGCAGTTAGCAGTAGGAGTATGAGCGCCATGGAGCTGTCATATAGAAAGAAAAGAGGGGTGTTCTCATATTTAGTGTATAAGTATTTGCAGTCTGCAGACCGAAGGTTCTGGGTGCACCCATTGCTGAGTTCCCGACTGCTGAAAGGAGCATTTTCATCGCTCTACATAGATCTTAGTAATGATGAAACAAAATTTTTTAATTACGTTCGGATGAGCAAAAGATCTACGCTGTACTTACTAATTTCTTCTTTTTCTTTTTGGGATTTTTCCTCGAAACTGGGTTCAAATATTTCACAAATCTTTATCCACGCTGCTATTTTCACATTTTTTATTGTGGTAGAGTTCACATTTCGTGTCCCAAATTTCTTTAAACTTTTTCACAGCTTCTATAAGCAATTCCGTATCAAAACCGTCAGCCATTCTTTCCGTGCCGTGACGTCCGTGTGAAGTGCACAACTCATCTGTAGGTATTGCTGCTATGCCGCAGCTGCGTTTGAGCAGTACCTGCGTCACATAAACTTGACGCAGACCCACCGCACGTCACCGCACCGTTGACGTAGCTCCGTGTGAAGTGGTTCATATGGATATTGGTACTTCTCAACCGCACGCCGGTAACGGTACGTCACCGCGCCGCTCGTGTGCAGGGAGCCTTAATGCGCCTGTCTCCTCAAGAAACTCTCAAAACTTTATTTATACCTTCCGCAGGCCATAACTGTTCCGTCGTATAGACGCGAAGTGGGACTGTTGTTGGAAAGTTAAGCTCAAAAAAATAAAACTTCATTAAAAAACTAATTTTTAAAATTTCCCAAAGCCGACCTATTCAGCCTACCTGTTTCTTTGATATAAATGAGCATTTGGTATTACTGGAAATCTACAAATAATGAATCTGACGCTCAGAATACGACAGTACACGTTAACCTCACAGAGTAGTTGGTTGAGGCACTATGCTACATGTCTGAAGGTCACGATTTCGTTTCCCGAAGAGGTCATTGAATTTTTCAATTGTCCTAATCCTTCAAGCCGCACTGTGGCCCTGGGGTCGACTCAGCCTCTAGCAGAAATAAGTACCAGGAATCTTCATGGGGTGGTAAACGGCGGCCGGTGCGTAAGGCTGACAACCTCATCACCATCTTCGGTCTTCGAGCCGATTGCCTAGAAAATGTGGGAGCCTCGTCGTCTCACAACCCTATGGGCCTCCACGGCCTGTTACAGGGATACCTTTACATTTTTTAAAAATATAGTTACAGACTGAAAATCAGTGCAATGTGTCTACATAAACTGCAATGTTAACATTTATGAATGCTTAAAACTACTTATTTTAGCTTGGGCCGCGCCATAGCTCAAGCGGTTAGTCGCTGGCTTCCCACCGCGGCGGCCCTGGTTCGATCCCTGGTCTGGTCAAGTGGGGCAGGTTTTCCCCCAAGTACTTCGCTTTCCCCTGCCAATCTTCCTTCCACCAATTGCTCCACAATCACCCTCACCTATCATCTGGGCTGGTACAATAGGCCAGAAGTGGCCGCAGTACAAGGGACTTAGTCCCACCCCACTAGCATAAAAAAAAAATTTAGCTTACATTAAAATGTCAGCTACAAAACTAAAATGTGTCAGTTAAACATGCTCTGTATGCTCCACAGAAACACTTCAGATGTTCGCAGTGTTCACAGCGCCATCATTCTGGCTAAAAATAATCCTCTTCTTCCACTAGTTCGTTCACCCCTACTTTCCCTACTATGCACCCAGTTTATTTGCATTTGTGGCGTCTGTTTACAGGTTTGCATGTTATGTATAATGTAAGCACACGAAAAGAGTCTTATCATCTCTGGCTGCTCACCTCTCTGTCTTACAGCAGTTATTTATTTACATGCCATGTGCTGTATGATGGAGGCACATAACACGTGGCATAAGCGCTGGCCTGCTTCACTTCTCAGCTTACATCTAGACAGTCTATGTATAATAAAGAACACACACACAAAGAAAGTAGTATCGCCGATTGCGGAATATTTTGGCGTGTTTCAATTGTTTGTTCCCATCTTGCCATTCCACGTAATATGGGAGCTTTCTTTTTCACTAGTGGGGTGGGACTGAGTCCCTTGTACTGCAGTCACTTCTGACCTATTGTACCAGCCCCAGATGATAGGCGAGGGTGATTGTGGAGCAAATGGTGGAATAAAGATTGGCAGGGGAAACCGAAGTACTCGGAGAAAACCTACCCCAGCGCCACTTTGTCCACCACAAATCCCACTTGACCAGACCCGGGACCGAACCCGGGCCGGTATCATCGCTTAATATGCAAGGCTTTGTTATACTTCAGTTGTTTGTTGCCATTCCACGTAACATGGGAGCACATGAAAGAGTATCATTAGGTTTTGACAAGGAATGAAGGATGCGAAGGCGAAGTGCCCACTCTATACACCTTCCCCCGTTCATCTTAAAACGGAATGCTATGTATACACAGCTAATCAGCCTATACACTTGGACCCTGCAGACGGTGTCAGCATGTACCTCCGAAACGTCAGCAACATCACCCACATCCACACATATGACGACCAGAGAACAAGATTAACATCAATATTTAACCACCGTGAACGACTGAAATTAGGAAATGTTTACGAGTTCATC